ATATATATATATATATATTTAAAGGAATAAAATAAGAACTGTCTATAAGGATATGAAGAAATGGAACACTTGTTCTTTGCTAATGGAAATGTAGAATTGTACAATCACTATGGAAAAATAGTTTGGCAGTTTCAAGAATTCAAACATAAAAGTACCACGTGGCTCAGAATTTTTGCTGTTAAGAGATAAAAACCAAAGAACCAAACACGAAAACTCAAACAGATATTTATATACCCCTATTCATAGCAGCATCATTCACAACTGCCAAAAGGTGCAAAACCCCGATAGGTCCATCAACAGGTGACTGGATAAACAGAAAGTACTAAGTACATTTCATGGAATGTTATTTAACCATGAAGGATGGAAACTTTTATAAATGCTACAACATGGGTGAACCTTGACAACAGTATGTTAAATGAAATAAACCAGACATGTGGAAGGACGTTATGGGTATTATATGATTCCACTTATTTGAGATACCTAGAGTAGGTAAATTCATACAGACAGAAAATAGAATAGAGGTTCCCAAGAGCTGGATAGGGGGGTGAGGAGTGAAAGTTTAATCTGTACAGAATTTGTGTCCAGGAAGGTGTAAAAGTTTGGGATGTAGATACTGGGAACAGTGACCCAATATGGTGAATATATGTAATATCACTGAATTGTATACTTATGGTAGTTAAAATGACAAATATATCATATATATATTTTACCACTGCATACATTTGTTTCTATTTTTTTGTTTTGAAGCTTGTCTGTACGGGGAAAACAAAGTCATAGAAAGAGCAGCCTTCCATTTCCGGGGCCCGTCCTTTTATTGGGGACTCAATCTACATTCCTATCTGAAAATCTTTAATTTTTTATTGATTCTTATGTAAATAAAACATTTTGCTTTTTTTCTCAAAGTGGCACAAGTTAAACTCTGTCACTTGAACCTAAATACTGTTAACTATAACCAACTTAGGTAGCTTTTTAGCAAGTTTGTGGTTTGGGAGACGGCTTATCTTCTCTTGGTAAGTGTTAGCAAGGGGCCCCAAACCAAGGGCACTTCAGAGCAGTTCCACACTTCACTTAACCTGGGTTCCTAGAGGAGTGAAGTTGGAATCATTTGCTAGTTTTGTTTTTGCAGAGGACTAAGGACACTCTCAGAATCCCACTGAAGCACAAACACTGAATCATCAATATCTCTGGGTACAACATTTGTGGTATTTGATACCCTTTAGGGGAAGCCACCCAATTAATGATAATCTAGCAAGTTACTTGAGAAATTGCTTGAGTGTCTGAGATTTGTGCAAGAGTTTCTAGAGCTAATTTTATCTCTGGGATTATATGGAATTGACTGGCTAAAGGGGTATGATCCAACTTCGCTGACTATCTGGCGTTTTTCTAAAGAATGGGGAGAATTCTTGTACAGAATTACATAATGGATCATAGTCAGTAAGAGAACATCAGGCAGAGTCTGATAACATTGTAAGGTGATTATTACCAATCCAAACATAAAATATGTTTAAGAGATAATCTTCCAAACTATACAATAAACACCTTAGTTAGGATATTTCCTTTAATCCTGACATAATCATGCAAAATAGAATAATGTTATTGCTATGATTTATATCTGAAAATGTCTCTCCAAAAGTCTGTGTGTTAGGCAACGTGGCAATGTTCAGAGTTAAAAATAGAGGATAATGAGAGCTGTATCCTCATCAGTAGGTTAATCTAGTTGATAGATAAATGATCTGAATGGACTACATTGGTAATGGTAACAGAAAACAGATGGGGAGGAAGTGAATGTGTGGCCTCAGATTATATCTGTCCCTGGTCCCTAACCTCTTCCTGCTTCCCGAACACCACAGCCTTCTGTCATGCTCTGCATCATCTCAGGCCCAGAGAACTGGACTCAGTCAACCATGGAATGAACCTCGGAAACTCTGAGCCCAAAATAAACATTTCCTCATCTCAGTTGTTCTTATCATGTATTTTGGTTACAGTAATGAAAAGCTGACTAACACAATTATTATTCTTTCCAATTACAGAAGAGGAAACTGAGCCAGTAGTCAGGAACTCATGCTGTAGCTCATTAGTTAATATTTGTTAAATCTGTCATCTATTCGCAGATCAACAGTGACTTGGGAGCTATTTTGAGTTCAGTTCCTGGACTGGCTTTTGCTGGTTGAATAGCCTGGGTATATGGGCATAAATGGTTTTCTCCTCTATAATAACTATTCCTACCTGGAAAGGGTGTGGAGAAAAGGGAACTTTTGTATACAGTTGATAGGAAATTAGGTGAATTCAGCCTTCATGGAGAACAATATGGAGCTTCTTAAAGAAATTAAAAATAGAAACACCATAAGACTGTAGGCATTCTGAACATGGAAATATACAGGGTCGTGCTGGGATTCTGATCATGAAAATACACAGGGCAACGTTCCTCTAGTGAGCAAACTCCCTGCGGGTAACAGGCAATCTGTTTCCCATGCTTGGAATGCTCGACAGTTTCTCCTAGAGGCTATTAAGATAACTAATACAGGTGCAGTCTTTAGTTGCTATGGTAATATTCTTCATGAAGAGGCTCTGTGCTAGAGCCTTATCAGCCTGGACCTTGATTTCACACATTCGGCTCCTGGGAAAAAAGGAATACTAAATAATAATGTAGTTATGGCCCTAATGACCTATGTAGCCTATTGATACAGCAGTTGGGCCTCTCTGCCACTCTGCCATCTTTCTTTCCTGCCTCTGCATCTTGTCTCTGTGTCTCTTTTTATTTTCCTTACATAAGACCTAAAAACCTTCCTTTGGATCTGAAATGTAAAAGAACCAAAGTAACGCCATTTTGTTCTGACCTGACTCCATATTGCGCTTGCTTAAAATGTTCTCTTTTCAGCATCCTGAAAAGCTTTATCTACGTTGACGGTGCATTTGGACCTTCCTGTGGCCCTGATGAAGGCCCCGATGTATAACAAAATGACTCTGAAGTGTCTCATTAAAGCCATTCTCTCATGGAATCAAAATATGTCTCAACAAGGTCTTTCTGAAGTACATCCTTGTGTTTTTTTGTGAGTTTTGCCTTAATAAACTCTGTACTTCCAAAATTCAAGCGCTGGGAGTTCTTTGAGTCACTAGCCTGCTCCCAGTCGCTTGCCTGGCTTGCTCATTAAGGACCTTTTACCCCTTTCAATTTGACTCAATAAGCGTGGTGGTCTGTGACACTTGTGCACTCCGTAACAAAGCATATGGCCAAAAGAAATGAGGTCACCACCTCATGAAGACATCTGCATTCCCATATTCATTGAAGCAATGGTCAAGATATAAACAACTTAAGTGATTACTGATGAACAAATGGAGTAAGTGATACAGATAGAGAGATGATAAATGATAGATAGATGTCACTCCCTGTAGAGAGAGATATATCTACAGATTTGTATACACATATATGTACATATATGCAACTGAATATTATCGAACCCTAAAAAAGAACAAGATCCTGCCACATGTAGTTGAACCTAGAAGACTTGATGCTGAGTAAAATAAGACACAGAAAAAAATATTGTATGATGTCACTCATATGTGGAATCTTTAAGATGATAAATATGCAAAGATAGAGAACAAAACTGAGGGGGAAATAGGAGATATAAATCAAAGGACAGAAACTAATACATATGTAGTATGAACAGTCTAGAGATGTAACGTAAAACCTGAGGACAGCATGTTTTTTAAACATGAGTAATAAAATTTTACTAGATTTGGAATCATGCTCAATGAGTAGATTTTAACTATTTTGCCGTAGAACAAAGAGTGGTCAACTTTGTAACACGGTGGATCTGTTCTTTCCTTGCTATAATACATATACATATATATGTATACATATATTCCACAATATGTATACATATATTCCACAAAATCAAGTTGTGTAGGTTAAATACAAATAATTAAATTTATTTTAAAAAATAAGTCTCTCAGGTATAGTAGCCACTTACCGCCATATATTTGCACAGGGAGTATGGCAACACGGTTACTAAAAAGACCTGACAGCATCAGTGAAAGGATCACTAAAAGCTATGTATGTCAAAGACAGGTCATAACTGACCACTAAATAGAGGGGTCCTAGGAAAAGAGAGGGAAAAATACCATCTACCAGGTAAAGCCACATCTTGACATAACTATTGGTATCTGCTATTGGTAATAATCAGTGTGTGAGGCCAGAGTTCCAGGAGAAGCAGTAGGGAATCACACAGGTAAACAGAAAAAGTGTCACTGGAATCCAGAAGGGTAGGAAATTGAACGAGGCCAGGGACCACTACAGAGAGGTCTGGCCATGCCAGGTCTGCTGGATCCGTAGGGTAATTTGAGTGCAGGGACCACGGTGGTCTCATTAACCATTCACACTGCTTCCTCAGAGCCCAAGGATGCCCATTCCTGTAGCGCTGGTTATGATTTGTTCTCTCCTGTCTACTCATCCACGCTTCCAGCCACGTCACAGCCCATCCAATGCTAACTTGCGTTCAGGGCCAGCTTCACAGAGGCACACAGTGCCACTGGTTCCAGTCACAGGGCATGGGGACATGATGTAGATTGTGACTCATTTTCTGGATGATTTTGTTGGCTCTGTCCGTATGGTTATACACAGGGAAGCCAAGCTTCTCCTGAGCCTGGACGTGGACGTGAGTGACGTAGGAGATGAGGCCTTGGCCCCGGTACTCAGGCACAGTGCCTCCCATTCGCATCTCCCCCGTCTGGTCCATCAGGCCCCACGACACAGGCGTCCCTTCAGGACCCAAAAGACAGGTGCTGGGAAAGGTCCAGATACAGCGCTCAATGAATCTCTGGCTTCTTTCATTGCCACCAAAATGCCAGAATTTATTCACCACGCCAGCGTGGGTCACATCCAGTGATGAGAGTTTAAACATCTCTTGGTTACTGTTGAGAAAAGGGGGAAGAGAACAGTCCATAATATTGCACACTGTGAGGCATTAAATTTGTTTCCCAAAAATTATATTGAGAGGCATACAGGAACAGAGTGAAGGCACAGTCTCAGCAGCCAGACTGGGTTAGTAATCTGACTAGCTATGCAATCTCATGCAGGGAACAATGTCTCTCTGTCTTCATTTCTTCTAACATAAAATGAAGATATTAATAACATGCTGTCAAAAAGCAAAATACACATTACAAGAGCTATTGCATGGCAAGTACCTAGGATAGGGCCACACACAATAAAAATTCCACAAAAGTTTATTATTATTCCTCTCAACATTGCTGTGACTCTCCACATAGGATGGAGTGGATGATATCATCCCTATTTTACAGATCAGAAAAGTGGATAAAAGAAAATAAATGAGAGCCCCAAAGCACCTGCTAGCAAAAGTAAAGACAGAGCCATGAAATCTTAGCCATCAGGGTCCTTGGCCACCATGTCGAATACATGGAAAAATTGACGTCCAGAGAGGGGCAAAAATATGAGGTCCAGATAGATCCTGTTGGGGAATACTGAAGTCTGAAGACTCCTACAATGGTTTAAAGAGGCTTCAGGAGACATCCTGGAAACAGCCTGGTGAGGCTAGAAGATCTAGAAGATCCAAGCTTCAGTTACACCCAAACATGTGGTGAGTAAGGCACTTAAACATCGGAGTCCGCTCTCTCAGGAAGTAGGAATAACATCTCCTACTCTTACTACGTTGCGAGGTAGACAGAAGGACCCAATGCAGTGCTAGTTTCTACACTTTACCATGTGAATAAGGCTCTTCCAGGCATATAGACACACACAGAGCCATGGGATGGGTGATCTTCAGATTAAATTCTCATCATCAGTTACCTTTGCAACGGATGGAAGAACATATGTAATGTGTTTAGTTTCTCGTTATCTGGAAACACTTTCTGCTTGAAAGTGGATTCATTAAATAAATATTTAATAAGAATCCAGTATGTGCCATATGATATTCTGGCTATTGAGAATCCATCAGTGAACAATATAGAGAAGATCCCTGTTCTAAATACCATGAGGAGGCAACAAATAGGGAGCTAGATACACCAGTAAGCTGCTTTCAGGTAATAGCAAGTCCAATAATGAAAATGAACATTGGGTTTTATCCTAAAGAATTACCATGGGGCAAGAGTTTTATATGAGGTGCTCATAAGAAACTGTCAAAGGAAATAAAATTTGAGAGTTTGAGCAGCAAAAATAAAAAAACATGGAGATCTGAAGGAAGGATGTTTGAGGCAGGCAAAGAGCAAGTTCAGTGATGCAGAGGCAGGAGCAAGAGCATGAGGTCAAGTGGCAGAAGGAAGGCCAGGACTGCTGAGTAAGCAGCAGGGTCAAGGTCACATCCAGGGGGTGAGGGTGCAGGTCTTATGGGGTCTATAAAGTGTTTGCATTTTGTTCAAGGTGAGGTGAGAAATGGTGGCTTTTAAGCAGGTGATCATCCAAGAGAGGGACTCTGGGAGGTGAGAGCGAACACAGGAAGGGAGGTTGGGAAGATCTCTAGCGACATGTGAGCAGTGCAGAGAGAGCATCTTTAACCACACTCACATGGCCTTGGGTTCCCCAGATTCAGGACATAAGTTCTTTGTATCCACCAGGAAAGGCACCAGTTTCCTTGCTGTCTGAGGCATCATGTACAGAATGCACTGTGTTCTCTTGACCTGGACGGAGTTAGCAGCAGCAAGACTTTGTATCACCTCATCCAAGCTGGACTGTGAACCTAGGAGGGACAAAGGAAGGAGAGAAGTAACTGTGTGCAAGGTACAAGAAGGGGCCCAGAGGAACTATGCAGGATTTAGAGTGAGTCACTCTTGCTTCTGGTAATGACACCAACAGTGTGACGTGACCAAGTCACTCCCTGGAGCAGATTTTCTCTTATATAAATAAAAATAGAACACCAGAAATACTGGCTGTTACTCTGAAATCAAAGGAAAAGGGGTACATAATTCATAGTAGACTATTTTGACTGTGCATTTGCTATATGCCCAGGAATTGGTCTTCTAGTTCATTTAATCCTTACACCGACCCCATGTTTTAGGTTCTTCATTTTCACTTATGAGGAAACTGAGCAATAGTTACATTGTATCACTTTAAAGATCACAAAGCAGGAGGCAGAGCAAGGATGCACCCTTTGGAGTCTGACTCTAGAGGGCATGATCATAACCACAGCCAGTGTCCTTTGTGACCTGGGTGCTTCTCTATGGCACTAGGAGCTTCATTTTTATTCCAGGAGTGGAAGACCAGAGGGCAACCTCTGCTCTCACACCCAACTCCTGAGGGCTGCTGAATATGTTGCAAAATGTATCTTGAATCTTCAGCTTACAAAAAATTACCTTACTCAGAGTTACTAGTAACAACCACATAGTGCACAATATGTGAATTCTGCTCCCCTGCAGAGGTGGTGACAGTCAATACAAGCAGCGGACACTAGGCATGGGGGAAGGAAGGACGGGCTATATGGGAATGTTCTCAGGGTGGAAAGTGGCCCAGAGGTAGACACGGGGGTCTAGCCGCCAGCACACACCCCAGCCCCCTTACTTTGGATTTGTAAATGTTGTTTCCAGTTAATGACATTTGATGAGACAAGCGATTCTTGACAGCTCTTGAGCTCCTTAGAATAGATTTGGTAGGTGTTGGTGTAGTGATCAAGGTCATCTGTCATGTCCTGTTTGGTTGGGCAACAGAGAATAAACCAGATTGCTTATACCAAGAGATCTCAATATTTGTGTCTAAAATTCCCCCATATTGTTATATTATAAATTTAATACAGACATTGTTTTGCACATATTATCACTACTTTTCTCAATCATGTACATCACAATACCAAGTCAAGGATTCTATTCAAATTCATGTTTAAAAATTTCTGCTAAGCCAAAAATGTTCCATTACAATTTCAACCAACCAAAGCTGCCCTAGTTCAAGAAACATTTTTTTCCTATAATTTTGCATTCTTCGAGGAGAAAGACAAAAGTGATTATTGTCAAAGGCAAGTTTCATTTACAAGAGTAAATCTTACTCTATTTTAAACAGCCTCAGAACAGACATTTTGAATTCGATAGTATTTAAATTGCACAGGTAACCTTGTATTAGAATTTTAACTCTATGTTATAAAACTATACAAAATGAACACGCATTGTTCCCAAAAATATAAATCACAAAGCACCATTGTTATAAACAGTTTACCTTCCTAACAAAATGAAAACATAACATTTATCTAAAAAGACCTTCTCAAAGTTAGCAAAGGAGAATTGGGATTATCTGAAGGTGAAGGAAGGACCAGAGAACAAATCCCTGGTGCATGCAGAGCAGGTAGAAAACTTTAAGCAGAAGCGACCATTTGATAAAAAAAAAAAAAAAAAAAAAAACAACTATTGACGTTCACAGTTTCTAACACAAAATTTAAAAAGCAAATATTATTCCATTGTTAGGTATTAATAATTTAAATTTCTTGGTTTTTGTTTGTTTGTTTTCTGTGTCATTTGGTGGTGTTTTTATAAAAATTCTGTGTTTCTAAGGTTTACAACATGATCTGATAGATAATATAGTTAGCAAAATGCTTATTATGTTGAAACAAGTTAGCAGATCCATCATCCCACAGAGTTACCATTTTTCTTTGTTTCTGAGGGCATAGCAGCTCAAATTTACTAAGTTAACAGAAAGTACAGTAAATTTTATTGCCTTCATTCTTCTAGTTGCACATGAGGTTATCTAGTTGACATTCTACATGCCAGCTACATTGAATCTTTTGGCCTGTTTCCTCCCACCCCCATCACCACTTAGGACCTGGCTAACCACTGTTGTCTTCTCTGGGTCTGAATTTTTTAAAAGATTCACATATAAGTGAGATTATGCATTTTTATTCTTTTGATTGGTGTATTTAACTTAGTATAATGTCCCCCAGAGTCACCCACATTATGGAAAATGCAAGGATCTCTTTTTAAGAGATCTGAATAACATTTTTTATAAATATTATAGTTATAATGATGGGACTATATACATAAGAGGAAATTTTATTTAATAGAAATATATATATATATGCACATATAGACATATAGGTGTCCACAGATTCCTGATTTTTCCATGTCTTGTCTATTTTGAATGGTTCTATGATAAATATTAAAGTGCAGACATATTTACAAGGTAGTGATTCTTTTTCTTGTAATACATGCCCAGAAGAAGGATTGCTGGGTTAAATTTTTATATTGAGGTGCTTTTCTTGTATGCCTGAGTTGTTGAGAGTTTTTGTCAAAAAAAGGATGCTGGAATTTGTCAAAATTTTTTCCTTATCAATTGCAATAGTCACATGGTATTTAACTTTTTATCTTTTTATTATAGAATATCATATTGATTGTATGTATTAAAGCGGCCTTGCATATCAGGGATCAAACTGACTGTCACAGTGTATAATCTCTTGGATATATTATTGAATTTCATTTACTAATATTTCACTGAGAATTTTTGCATCAGTATTCAGCAGAGAAAATGGCCTTTCATTTTCTTGGGATGTATTTTTCCAGCTTAGGTATCAAAGTGATGGCGGCTTCATCTAAGTATACTCCTGAAAAAATTGTTGCAGTTTTAGTTACATTTTATTGTTTTGAATTTTTAACCTTCATATTAGAGATCAGTAAGATTCAGTATTTCAGTATCGGAATATTGATGTTTTCACTCTGTATTTATCTTTAAGAGTGAGTTTTAATTTCCATATGTGCTCTTTTTAGTAGTTATTGTCTACTCATGTGTGCTTAAAAACTACTACAATTTACATTTTATATGTTATAATTTATATAAAAATAATACTATATGATTAACCTTTATATTTTTGAATGCAGGGTCTTTATAAAGGTACTTAAATCCGCATCCTTCTTTTTTAATTTTTTACATATTTTTGTTGGTGCATCATAATTGTACATATGGATGGGATTTGTTGTTACATATTCATACATGCACAAAATATAGCAATATAAGTCAGTCAGTATCACTCCCCAGTCCTTCCCCCTCCCTCCCTGTTTTCCACTCCTGGGTCCCTTTCCTCTACTGATCTCCCTTTAGTTTTTAGAAGATCCACCGTCACCTTTGTTTTCCTTTTTCCTCTCTATCTTCCACATATGAGAGAAACACAGGACCCTTACCTTCTGTGTTTGACTTGTTTCACTTAACACAATGATCTCTATCTAGTTCCATCCATTTTCCTGCAAATGCCATAATTTCATTTATCTTTATAGATGAATAAAGCTCCATTATGTGTATATAGCACATTTTCTTTATCTGTTCATTAATTGATGGACATCTAGGTTGGTTTCATAGTTGGCTATTAAATGTGCTGCTATAAACATGGGTCTGCATGTATTACTGCAGTAACATGACTTTAATTCTTCAGGGTAAATGCCAAGGAGTGGTATAGCTGGTCATATGGTGGTTCTATGCCTAGTCTTTTGAGGAGCCTCCATACTGATTTCCATAGAGGTTGTACTAACTTACAGTTTCACCAACAGTGTAAAACATTCCCTTTTCTCCACATCATCTCCATCATTTTTATTGTTTGCATTCCTGATGACTGCCATTCTCACTGGTGTAAGATGAAATCTTAGTGTAGTAAAACCTAATCCTTCTTAATGTGCTTAAAATATATTTGCATTTGAAGTATGTTCATCATTGGGGTGATTTTGAAAGATCTGGTATTGATGATTTAATACCCATGTATAGATATTGTAAACTTATATTCCCATATCATTCTTCATAGTTAACCTCACATATTTTCATCAGATTAGAATGTGCTCTTAAAACCTATTGAACATCAAAATCCAGTTTTGGTAAAATAGCTACCTGGAAGCCTCCCCACCTCCCAGGACTGAGGATTAAACCCAGGGCCTTGCACATACTAAGCAAGTGCTATGAGTCAAATCCCCAGATTTTCTGGAAGTCTTTTTGACCCTCTCCTTACTACCTCTGAAATCACTGGTTTTAATCAAATTTCACTCAGTGCTACTTCTGTTATCTAAAGTATAATTTTAACACAAAAACAACTCCCTACAACATAAGTGCTCTTGCGTGCTCTTGCACATTTTCACACCACGTTGCAATTCTTCTGCTTTTCTGTTTTCTCCAGGCTGTGAGCTCCTTGAGGATAAGACTGTTTCCTGGGGTCCACCATACTTCCTTCCAGGTTCATGTCACACACACAGCAAATACAAACACAGAGTCATTTTCTTTCCACCCCAGACAACTTACCTGCTCCTGAGGGCGCACAACTACTGTGTTAAAATCTGGCCATTTGTCCACCAAGGCCTTTAGCTTGAATGGGTTCCCCTGGTTTATGTGGAAGACAGTTCCATAGACCTACAACATTTCAACAAAGCGAGAGTCAGCACATTACAAAGGAACAGCCAAGTGCCTTGTTTAACCACAACAAGCCTTATTCCTAGGAATCAGTGTTTGTAACTAACAGAGCATGGACTTCAGTCTTCAAGTTGTGTTTTATTTCTAAAGAGAACCAAATATGTTTTTGCATGAAATGCTGAGAATATTGTACTTCAGTGTGTGTATATATGTACATATAGCCAAATATACAGATAAAATAAATTAACAATCACTCATTCATTGCAGAACTTATTCTTATATTCTTTCTATTTTCATCCAAACATTTAAATATGTTTATAATTTTATGTGATGAAATCACTTAAAATATATTAATTTAACATATATTTTCCCCACATACACTATGTATAGTGTATATATTTCCATGTCAATATGCAGAAATCTCCATGATCATGCTTCATGAGTACATGTTTATTACACGGAAGGACCGTAATTCAATTTTCTTACCTCTTATGACTGGTCATTTCAGTTTTCTCTGACAATTTAGGTTAGTTCTTTGAGGAAGATTTTTGCTTAAATCTTTGAAAATATGCCTATTGTTACACATTTCAGATGAGGAAATTTCTATGTCAAAGGTCACATGCCACTTAAAGATTTAAGAGAGGTTAACTGGGCTTCTATCTATTTAATCCTGTGACAGCATGGTGCTCAAATCATGAGCTTTGGTGACTAATAACGTCCAGGAACATCACACATTGGACAATCGGTTTAACCTTTTCTAGAATCATCTGTTTAAGCATCAGTGCCCTCAATAAAAGAAATTGAGAAAGACATCCCCAAAATGGAAGAAGTTACAGCAGAGAGGTCCTCAGGACTTAAGTTCAGCTGGGACATGGTACCTCAGAAGGTGAGGTGGAAAGTCACCAAGATCAAAGACCATGGAATGATGAACCTTTCAATATCCAAACCTAATCCTGAGATTCCCTAACCTTCCCTTAAAATGTTTATATGTTCTCAGTTCATACCAGATTATGAAATTCCCTGTCAACGGTAGAAGCTCAATATAAATTTAGATATAGTTTGGGGGAAAATAAAGAGGTTATCTTTTTTTTTTAACATTGGAATTTGGAATGA